GATTCTCTTACACGGGGCGACACCTAATACTTTCAATGCACAATTTAATAATTACTGTTTCACGTATTCACTTTAATCACTGTTCAATAAAGATGATGAATAAAGTCGTTTTCATTTCACCTTGAAAGAGTCAGACTATTAGTTGGTATCAAACTTTTATTTTACCACACTTGTGTAAATTCTCGCGCGCTGATTGGCTGATTAGAGTGTGTCAATAAGAGAACATAAAACTCAAAATCGTACKTGCGCAATTTGTTAAATCTATTATTTTCTTTTGTTCTTTACTGGTTTTTCATGGTTGAAATCAATCACTAATCACATGTTTGAAACTTTTCAAATCCAGATTTTGTAATCAACTTAACACATGCAACCAGAAGCAGCACCCCATGACCTTAAGTTAGGCGAATTGTAGGATATGCTTGGGACCAAACATGGCGGATTTCTTTAGCTTCCTCTAGAAACTTATCCCACAATGCATTGAAAATAATATAAAGATAAATATCCTAAAGTTATGAGCATGGAATATAAAGTAACTGCAAACTATACTACAGAGTACAAACACTAAAACTGTTCAACATCAATACCACTAAATACTGCTAAATTATACTAATTCTATTGTTTTCTATTGTTTAATTAACACTATTTTGTAGTAAATAGTGGAAAGTGTTGCAAACATTTGATGTTTGTACTCTACAGAGTACATAGTACGATTGGATTTTAGTTAGCGTTAGATACTAATCTTCCAGAAGCTTCTAGTTCTCTTCTTGACTTGCGAGTAGTTTCCATGACATGATGTAGAATCACGTGATCAAAGTCCTGAGAACGATGACAGGACAACAAAATCAAGTGTTCAATATCAAGAATGCTGAGTTTACGATATTATTTTGATACCTCTAATTTTATACCTTGTTCCAGAGACAGATTCGAGCTCAGTCTAAATACTAAATCTAGCGCAAGAACCTCTTCAGATTCCCGCAACGCGACAACACAATTTCTTCTCTTCCAAAATAGTATATCACCTCCATTTTTTTTCTTTACTGACACGTTTTCGTGATGGACGTACGCGTACAGGCCGGGAAGAACTAGAACACGTCAAAAAAACTAGTGAACCAAAAAATAGGTTAAAAATAAATGAAGTGATTTGATGGCACACATCATGCAACCAATCAAATGAGTATTTTTGTTAGTTTTGTAGATTGATTTCAGGACAACAAATTGATGAAAAAAGATTTGTGTAAGGAAAAGCTTTTTCACTTTTATTTGAAAAGCATAACAGATCCCAAATAAGTTTAAAACTGAATGATCTAGTACGTGCAGTAGTTAGTTCCGCGAAGAGCTTGAAAAGCTAGCCAACCTGAAATTAGCATGAAAATACAACTTTTTGCCATTTTTCATATGGAAGTTAGAATTCGAGCAATGAAAGATGAAATAAAGTGCATATAAAGGAATTTTTTATATTAAAACACACGTAGAAGGAACAAAACTGAATATTTGGAATATTTTATGTTTTGTAAAGAAAGTTTAACGACTACTAAAAATGGTTAGCCTCCGTAGCAGAATTTTTCGCTGTTCGATTGTCTCTCGCAGTCGAACCGTTAAAAAAGTCTGCTACGGAGGCTAAAATATGGTCTGATGAAAAGAAATTCAAAAATTGAAATACTAGTATGTTCTTGAGGCGATTTWTTTGTTTAAATTATGTTGATTAAAAGTTAATAAAAAATAATCTGTAGTTTTGTTATGAGACAACATTATGACAAATAATTAAAGGTACAAATTTTAAATATCGTCAACCCTGTATATTTATATTTATATATTTTTAATGAGTTAGCGACCTGAATTTCTTGATCAGTTGACTTAAACACCCTTGATGAAACGCAAGTGCAATGCAATTATATGTTACTCKGTACTTAGCGTGATAATTAAATGACGAAAAGTGATATAACCTTGAAAAATGATTTTGATTACACTAATCTGAACATTCAGGCTCAAATTAATTAATGTTTCTGCAAATTTGAATGGAATCAAAAGGTTTGAGAGCATCTATTTGATATATCTTTATGTCGGATTATAAAAGATCTTGTAAATTTCATTATGTGTAAGAGTTTAAACTCAAATTATTAATCTTTCACGTAACAAAACACCAGGATTTTTTAGGAAAAGTAGTTTCGTTTTATATTAAAACCTCTTCAATTCCTAAAGTCTGTACAATAGTAGGTACACGACTTTCAAATTAAAATGCTTGCACGCGCTCTAACAGAACGAGCGCGCTAAATAAAATTACAAAATTACAATCATGATAGTTCCATTCTAGCTCTTGGTACAATGCCATTATTCCATTCAGTCTTGTTGTTAATGGACTTCTTTCCCTCTCTTCTGATTCTCACTGCTTCCGTTATCTGCCTCAGCATAGGGTCTAGATGAAATTGCCCCGTAACATTCATTTTAAAATCTTTTATAAAATTTTTGATATATAACGCGCGCTCTGATTGGCTGACGACCGTGTTTATATCAGAGGACAGAGACACGGCTTACCGGCAAAATTTTTTTTTCGCTCGAAAAATTTTATAAAAGAAATATAAAAACGGCCGCTTGTGTCTCTGTCCTCTGATATAAACACGGTGGGAGTTGAAAAACACTCGAGAAGCAAACGCGCGCCGTTTTATATTTCTTAAGTAGAACGTTCTCGTGTTTCTCGCGACAGTGCCTTTTTAGGACGGAATGCTCACAGTTACGTATGTGAGAGCAATACCAGGACAACAATGAAACTAGAAAGATCAGGCGGTACTTGTCTGTTTGCTGTTCAAAGTAGAGACACCTTGATGAATATTTCGTAGGAGAGTAGATTAGTACAGCTGGAAACACATGATCGCTTAATTTGGTCTTATTATTTCACTATTCACAAAAAAGAACTATGGGAAAATACTTGACGTCATACGGACCTGACATCAAAACAAGGTCAAGTGTTCAATATCAAGAACGCTGTGTTTATGATAATATTTTTGTCTTTCCTTTGAAATCGAAGCGAATAAAGACCACCAGAAGAACGCTCGAGCTCCTAACTACCTATTTTAGAAATATTAACTCTAATTCGATCTTTAACGTTCACCTTGTTGACATGTTTTCGTGCACTAGACTGTACTAGAACTGACTGGAAACAACTTTAAGAACTAGCGAGCTGGGAAAATATTGTAAAAATGAATGGAGTGACTTAGTAATGAATTTCTACTTCCATTCATGACGTACTATGAACAGCTATATCATTAGTGCCATTATCAATCTGATTATGGTTTTGCATTAAAACCGAAATATGCTCCTACTGTCTCATTCATTTTGTCAGTTGAATATCAACTAGGAATATGAATATATTCGGTATTACATTTATTTTTGTTTTATTTAAACATCCTGTTCTGAATATGCCTTCAAACCAAACCATTATAAACTACATAACATAATGACAGCAAAGCATAGCAAAATTAGCTAAAAGTCTCTTTTTTTCCTATCTTCAATGGTTTGAACACTCACTTCCGTATGCAAAATAAAACAGACAGTTGAATTTTTATGTTAATTTCCAGTTGGCTAGTTTTCAAAATTCTCTTCCTCACACTCTTTSCGGAACTAACATGCTCGTATTTATACTAGATCATTCAAATAAAAGTGAAACTTACTCACAAATGTTCTCATTAAACTTGTCACTAAAAAAATAACTTAAAATTTAACCAAACTCAAATCATRCGCATTTATTTGAAGTTGCATGATATGTGCCTGGAAGATCATTAAATCATGTTATTTTTAACCTATTTTTTGGCTCACTAGTTTTTTTGACGTGTTCTAGCTCTTTCCAGTCTGCACGTCCATGACGAACACATCATGACACATGTCAGTAAATTTGTGGAGGTGAAATATATCATTTCATAGAAGAGAAGACCTTCATGAGCTTCTTGCGCTAGGTTTAGTAGTTAGACAATTCGAATCTGTCTCAGAAACAATGAATAGGGTATCAAAATGATATTGTAAACACAGCATTCTCGATATTACACACTTAAACATATGATAAGGTATTTGCCCAAGATCAATTTCAACGAACTATGAATAAACCAATGTACAATCGTACTATGTGCTCTGAATTATAATTTACAGCTTATTCATATTCTATATACTGTAACGTTAGGATACTTGTCTTTATCCTTTGATCTTCCATTAAGACTATTGTTATCATCATCACTGTGCAGGGGGATAGGGGAGGGGGTAGCGTACACCATTGCACAAACTTGAATGAGTGTGGTTCTTTGACATTATATCTATCCGAGATATCATTAATATCCAGTATGATAATCGCTATACTTGGCGTTCATATAATCGTACCATAATGGGCTTTTCATYGTTTTTAATTATCTAGAAAAAATACTAAAACAATGCCATTAAACGCGTATTTGGACGACAAACTGGGCAAAACAGCTATCGTAGCCGATGAGACGTGTTTCTAATCAGAATCATTTTAAATTGATTTTTGTATAGCAAAACCAAGTTAATAATAAGTTAAAATAGACAACTTACAACTTAAAAAACTGAAAAAAAGTTGAATGAGATTGAATATTTCATCATTTTGGCTAAACAAAATATTATCTTCGATTAGCTTCGTAGCCTTAGTACATACTGAGTCATTACTTTCTTGATGTTTATGGTGTATAATTGGCCGACAAAACTAACGTAAATCAATTTCAAAACAGTATATCATGGTATATGCCCTTAACTTTATCACATATGAAGCAAATGATATGTTTGTAATTATTGATTTTTAATAACAATTGTGCTAACCCTAACTTGCCTACGAAAAATGACTAAGAGGTTTTATTTTTATCCTCTGAATTTCCAGATGAACAGTTTTGAATACACGTTTCCTCATTCTTTGGGAACTATTGCACAGACTCATCCAGGAGACTTGATTGTTCAGTTTAAAACTTATTCTGAGTATCTTCATATCTTTTAAAGTAAGAATCAAATAAAACAAACTGTTTTACCATGTTCTTGAAATGTTCTTCGCTATAAAAGTTTAGTGCTTGATGATAAGCATATTTCTTTAAGGCCCTCTTGCATGACATATGCCTGGAAGTTCATCAATCTAGTACATTTATTTTTAGCTTATTTTTCAACTCACTGWTTTTTTAAGGTGCTCTAGTTAGTCCATCCAAGCCTGCACGTACAATACGCAAGCAAGTCAGTGAACAAAACATGCAATTATCACTTGGAAAAGTACAATTTTGTTGTCCGGCAGCTCCAAGAATGCTTCTTCCTCTAGGTTTAGTTGTTTAGTTGTTAGGTGTTTTTTTTTTCTTGTGCATCTTGGTATCATTTTGATGAACATGCTATCAAAATATTATTGTCAAAACAGCATTCTTGATATTCTTGAAAACTTCTTGACATTGAACACGTACTTCAGGTCTTGATATTGAAGACCTTCTTTTAATAGCAGGTCCCGATGACGTAAAGTATTTTTCCGTGGTTTTTCCTGTTTTATGATTATAAAAGAAGACAAGTTGGTAAGTCAATCATTCAGTTGGATTCAGCTAACATCTSAATAGACATCCAAGGCAATACAAACCCTGACAACATGAAGATTGCTATCGCTCTACTTGTGGTGTGCTCAGCCGTTTTTATGGCTGCTGCAGAAGAGAAGGCAGGTCAGTCTAAACTAGAATTGTGAGCAATTGAAAGTCCTCCCTTTTRCAATGAAARCTCTTCTCTCTCCGGGCACCATTTTGTAAGTTGGTTTTCTCTCCTGTTCCTGGAGTTTTGGCTGGCTTTCTTCCCTCAGTAAACATGTGTGGCTTTGACTCCTCCCCAGTTAGTTCCCAGTTAAACGATGAGGACGATAACTGTTTTCACTGTCATTTCTTGTCCAACTGTGTCCAACCTATCATTGCGGATGCATTGTTGATTTTATTCCCTGTTGTATTACTGCTTTGTATAGTGGTTACTATCATTTAGGAGAGACGTGGCTAATGCCAGCGTCGGACGGGACATACTCCCTAGAMCATCAAATCTCTTACTTATTTTAAATTATTTATCTACTTTACAGAGGAAGACCCTATCGCCTTTCTGAAAGGTACGGTATTTAAAACAAAGCTTTGACTGATTAACTTTGGAGATTGATAGTAACTTTTAAGCTTGGTTAAAAGACAACCTTCAATATCAATTCAAAGTTTAAAGGATCACATGTATCCGAGATCCTTTACAATCGTTACTTTTGTTTTACAAATGATCTCTTGGTTGAAGTGTGCTTTCTGAGTTCAAAAAGATGATGAACTTTTTTATGTGTAAGAAAATTGTTCTTGGATCCAGGTGGGACTTTAAGAACGTCTCTGCCGGATACGGTCCATAATTCTTTTCAAGGTTATATGCCAATAATTCATTTTTTTTTTCAGCCAGAAACATGCCCGTGGAGGAAGTCGGTGAGGATGAGCCAGAGTTTGGTACCGAAGATGAGCAGCATTCAGGTACGAAAGATGAGCAGCAGTTTATACACAAAACATTAAAAAAAAAAAACAGCTAAAAACATTTAAAAAAAAAACAGCTAATGTGTTTTTTCGTGTTTTTTTTATAGATTCGGCAGAGGTGGAGAAACGAGCCAAGAAAAAGTGGATTGTCGATAGACTCAGCTACATAAGTTGTCGCTACATTCTTTCATACGGGTTATGCTATAAACACGCCATATTGCGATATCTTTGCCCTGCACTTTGCCGTAAGTATAAAGAAATAGCAAAGTCCGCATCGACTTTGAGAGTATTCAATACTTAAAACTAGAAGAGAACATAATACGAAGAATAATGCCCTTAATAATGSGGAAAGATTAAGAAGCGCAAGTTTTTGTATACGCAAAAAAAAAAGAAAAAGAAGAAAAAGAAAGAAATTGAGGGAATGATGCAGCATTTTCTAACAATTTATGGATAAGAAGTAATTATGTCAGTTATCTCGTGCAATAATAGTAGTAATAATTACATTTTAGGCTGCAAAAACCGCCTTTCCAGACGAAGCTGTCTCTATCTGAAAAAATATGGCTATTGCAAAAAGAACGTACTCACGAGGTCGAAGTGCCGTTATACCTGCAAAACTTGCATAAGTAAGTAGAGAAATAATGGTCTAACAAACAAATATTTGGCGAAATTCCAATTGACAAAATAACACAAAATAGAATAAAATTAAAGATTTATTTATTYATTTTTTAAATTAAAGATTTATAGGAAACTATATATAAAGTGCTTGAACTATGAAACTATGAAATAATGAGATCATTACCGTGAATTCAAAACACCTGTGAAATAGATTTTAACACAAATGTTGAGACGTTTTTCGAGTTTTTTTTGATCATAAAAGTTATCATGAACCATATAATACTCAATTTTACTTTGTTCTTAGGGAAGTTCCTTGGATAAATCCTATCAAGACGACAACATCACAGCAAAGCACTCAACTTCCTTTAATTCAAGATCTCGTGTTYTTGAATTTCTATTACTGCACTGGAATTTGCTTTATGTCMACACAGGATTTTGCAAATAAATTATGTAGATTAGAAGAATGGAATAAGCAATTTGTAATTTCAAAMGCCGCGGATGTGATTCGTACGTTGTAAAACGTCAGAATGTCAAATTGAAATTAAACACAACCAATAAAGTATTTGCATTGAATACATTGATGTAATCTTAATTTTTACGTTCGACCCCAGAAATTATGTATATACGTGCAGTCAACTCTCGCTGACATCCTCGGGACCGTAATATAGTGTCCGAAGTAGCGAGAGTCCGTACATTATTATTGTTATATTGTTTACTTTTTTACAAGTTTTATTGTTATTCAATTGTTATTACTGTAAAGCGCATATGAACTTATGGATATTTGCGCTATATAAATAGCACATTATATGTAGTACTGATACGTATAGATGCAAAATGTATGGCACGCATAGGGCGTAAACGTAACCTATGCGGTCTAAAAGGAAACTAATTACAATTTAAAACTATATGGTCCATAACTATATCGCTCCTAAATTACTAATTACAATTTAAAATTACATTATTAATACCTATCACTCCAAATTGTATTTCTAAAAATATATCTATAATTATGAGCCTACATATTACATATCAAAATATCAAATGTCTTAAGAAAATGTCAAATATCAAATATCAAATGTCCTAAGAAAAAAAAAAAGTCTCTTCTATAATCACTAAAATGTCAGTTATATTGTTCCAGACTTAGGTAACTGATGCTTTAAATGTACGTGCTATGTTCTGCGAGCACGAAATGGTAGCTTTCTGCATTTTTTCCAAAATACACTTTGATCGGGCACCAACCAGCTTCTTCAYATCTTGTTCTAAATCTCTCGACCATCCCCCGAGCACGTCAATTACGATGGTGCATTGTTGTACCTTGTATCCAGGGTGTTGTTGTTTTAATTCCAAAAGTAGTGCTCCGTACTTGGTGGCTTTCTCCTTGATCTTCTTTTTACGATTGTCAATCCAAGGGCAGCTCATTTCCACAGCCCAGRCCTGCTTTGCCTTGTGGTCTACGAAACGTACATCCACTCTATTTGCTTTCACATAGTTRTACTCGGCATAGACTGGCACATCCCAAAAAGCTTGCGCGTCTTCTGATACATACACAGGTTTTGGTTTCACTRGTGAGTACCATGGAGGAACACTTTCTATCAGCTTAAGATCTTTGCACTTTTCGAAAAATAATATCTGTAAAGCAGCATTGTGACGTTCCATGTACTTCGATTGAGCGAGTGCTGAGYATCCTGACAGAACGTGTGGAAGGGTCTCTGCTTCTTTACCACACAACCTACAACTGACATCTCCCACGGTTGCTTTGGTCTTATGTGATAAATAAATTCTTGTTGGTGTGAGTTGTTCATATAACTCAATCATTCCAGCGATCGTATGTGTGGGTGCCGACGTCCAGTCTTTCATCCAAGCAAAACATCTGTCTTGAACAAGTTCTTCGTCTTTCCAACGGGCTGATAGAAAACGACCATGCCACTTCTCTTCCACTATCGTCTTCTGTAGGTTGTCAACCAGTGCGTTCTTCAAGTGTTCTTTAACCTTCTTTCCTTCGATCACCGTATCTGGGCTTTTAATTGAAGTAAACGTTGGATCTGGGTACTTCAAAGATAAAGCTATGTCCAGCTCTTTAGCAAACTTGTGTGCCTCAGTTAACAATGACGAATGACCTTTCTCTGCTGCTCTTTCTTCAAACCTCTGGACAGTTTTCATAGTAGGATCTGCATTCTGGTAGAGTTTAACAGCAGCTTTGATCTTTGTAAGCTTGTACTCGTATTCAACAGATCTCAGACCCCGCCCTCCTTTGTGTCTTGGTAGATACATAACAGCTGTAGAACTCAATGGATGTTTACCTCCATTTTCATGGATAATTTTTCTTGTCTCTCTGTCGATTGCTCTCAGCTCGTTGATTGGCCAGTGCTGAGTCCACATCAGATAGTTGAGAACAGGAAGTGCAAATTGGTTGGTAGCTATCACTCGGTTGACATCGGAAAGGGGGCTAGACCAGATTACAGACACTCTTTGAAGGTAAACCTTTGCTGCACACTCAAGAGCTGACTTCTCATCTTGTTTTACCGTTTCACATACCCCTAGGAACTTGTAGCTTGAACCAGTCTTAAGACTTTCAACCACTGTTGTCTGATTGAGTTGAAGACCTAACGCATCAGACACTTGGACCCCTCTTTTAACATGGATAGTATTGCACTTCTTCGGGTTCCACTCCAATCCTATATTTCCCATTGCCTTACTTGTCGATTGTAAAACAGTATTTAGCTTTGTTTGAGATGAGGCAAAAACCTTGAGATCATCAATGTACAGAAGATGGGTAATCTTCGTGCCAATTGGTTTGGAAAGCTTATATCCCTCAGCTGCGTT